TCAGTGGCTAAGAGCACTGGCTGTTCTTGCAAAGGTCCCAGGTTTGGTTTCCAGCACCCACATGGCAGCTAACAACTGTACTTAACTCCAGTTCCAGGGGATCTGACAGCTTCTTCTGATCTCCACGGGCATTGCACAACATGGATGCACTTACCTACATACAGACAATACATGCATACACATAAAATTAAAATTAAAATTTTTAATTTTTTAAAAACGTGAAACAGTCCGACACAACATTAGAATGGAAATAGTGTCATTTTACTCTCCATATTGTCCTTGGTCCTTAGAATGACACTTAGGGAATAGAAGACACTCAGAAATTTACTTAAAGAGTCAAAGGAACAAATAGCTTTCAAAGGTATTTTTATAAAGTATGATTATCTTCATTTTTATTAACGAGGTTAGAGAGGTTCAATAATTTTGATGAAATTCCTGAACCTCATAATAGGAAGAATTATGATTCAGATTCAGTTTTATTCTACTTTAAATCATACTAATTTTCTCTTGTGCAATTGGTTAAAAAAATCCATATTGCTATAGGAGGTGCCAGGTTAATAATTATTTCTCCATTAGAGAAATAATTTAAAAATAAGCTTGTTTATATTTAAGATGCAGTTACCATGGATCTATAAAATATAATGAATGCCTAAACTTTTATATTAAAAAATCATTTGCTTTAAAATACTGCAAAAGTACGTGGGGAGCTATATTAAACAGCATTAGTAACTGTCTTTTTTTTTAATTGTTAAAAGGTTTTTTAAGTGAGACTGTGAAAGTAACATAATAAAACAGCATTTCAGGAAAACTTCTAGTTTTTGCAGGTGAACACTGAAAATATCATAGATTTCAAAAAAGTACAAGAAATTATTCACTGAGGTAATATTTATAAAGGACAAGATACAACATGAGGTAGTAGAAAGAAGCCAGTGTTAACTTTTGTCCCTCTCTCCATCAGGTTAGCAAAAGTCACCTGTTTAAAAGTGACTCATTATGAACACTATGTTATTTCAACATTTAGAAAATATCTTCCTTGTACTTAAATAAAGAAACACACAGACATGGTAGTACATGACTCTAGTCCCAGCACTCTGAAGGTAGAGACAGGATTGCAAGTTCAAAGACTGCCAGGCTACGTAATGAGTTCCAGGCCACTCTGTGCTAGGAAGTGAAAGCCTATCAAGACAAAAGAAAGGAAGGGAGGGGAGGGGAGGGGAGAGGAAGAGGAAGAAAATTAGTTCAAATGTCCTCTTTAAAATGCAGTGTTATTTATTTATTACTTATTACAAATATTCTTATGTAAGGTATTAACTTTTCTATTCAGAGGCCTTAAAACCCTTGCTACACAGATGAATGGAGGTCATAATCATAAAATTCAGTAGGTAGGCATTGCCTTGACAGTAGTATTAATCTGAAAGTCATATAATATATGAAAAAAAAAAACACTTAAATCTTCAGGAATCTTTTTTGTCTACCCATTACTTTACTGTATGTAGCAAGTGTTAGGGAAAGAATAGGTAAGATTGAACAAGAAAATTTTGTTACCCCAATTCTGGAATTGTTTTTTCCACTTTAAAAATAAATAGTTTGGAGGGATGGAGAGATGGCTCAGCAGTTAAAAGCACTGGCTGCTCTTGCAGGGGACCCAGATTCAGTTCCCAGCACCCACATGGCGCTAACAACCACATGTAACTCCAGTTCCAGGGGATCCAGTACCCTCTCTTCCTACCTCCATGGGACATTGCGTGGCACAGGTGCACTTACATACATGCAGGTAATACACACATACACATAAAATAAAGATAATAAATAAAATAATTAATTAATAAATAAATAGTTTTAAGAGCTGGAAAGATGGCTCAGTGAGTAAAACTGCTTACCAAGCAAGCATGAGGACCTGAGCTCAAATCCCCAGAAACCTCATAATAATTGAACATATAGCATGAGTGTTTGTAATTCCAGGGCTTCTATGGGGAAATGGGAGGTGGAGGCAGAAAAATCCCCAGAAGCTCATGGGCCTGCTAGTCCATCATGCGCAGCAGGAAAGCAGCAGACAGACCCTGTCTTAAACAAGGTAGGAGGCAAGACTGTTCTCTGATGTACACACGTGCAGCATGGCACATGTGTGCCCACACTCACACACTCAAAAGAAATTCTTTAATGGCTTTGCCTGACATAGTGGTGGATATTTGTAACCCAGGACTTGGAAGGCAGAGGGAGGAGAACCGCCTCAAGGTCAGGCCCAGTCTGGTCTACAAAGCAGGTCCCAGGCCAGTCAGGGCTACACAGTGAGATCCTGTCTCAAACAATTTAATAAATACATACTCTCCTCTCTCAGAAATAAAAATAAGTGGCTGGAAAGATGGCTCAATGGTTAAGAGCATTGACTGCTCTTACAGAGGACTGGGTTCAATTCCCAGCACCCGCATAGCAGCTAACAACCATCCATAATTCCAATTCCAGGGGATCCAATACCTTCTTCTGACTTCTGCAAGCATTGCAAAGCACAGGTGTGCTTACACACATGCAGGCAATACACTCATACACATAAAAATAAAAATTAAAGCATTAAAAAAGGATTCTTTAAAAAAATAAATAAGTAGCCAAGACTGGGGCTGTAACTCAGTGGTAGAGCACTTGCCCAGCATGACAAGTACCTGGTTCCAGCCCTGTGAAAATAAATGAGTAAATAAATAAATACCAGTGGAAAATATGACATAGTACTGCCTATTTATTCCAGTTAATATTTCCCAATCCATTGATTTTTTTAATAAATAAGAAAATGTTAGGAAGTCATTAACATTGCTGCAGAAAATTGGACAAGTCTAGATATGCAAAGTTAATATGTCTATGAATGTGCACACATTATTGCAAATACATGCACAGAAAAGCATATGACATAACAGGAAGACCATCTCCAGTGATTTCAAGAAGGGGCACAGTAAGCCAGGCATGCTAGCACACACCTTTAATTCCAGCAGTTGGGAGGCAGAGACAGATGGATCTCTGTGAGATGGAAGTCAGCCTGGTCTACATAGCAAGTTCCAGGCCAGCTAGGGCTACATAGTGAGACGCTGTTCCACAAAAAGCCATAAAAGAGCACAAATAGATCCACTTCTGCTGATGCTTGGGATTTATGGATACCAAAAATCAGACCAGTAGTAAAAAGATCATTGATCTCATCTTGGAAATCAGAAGTACACTTCACTTTCCTGAATACTTATCATGTAATTTGAATGAAGTCTTAGAATCTCAATACTGAGTTCTTGTCCCTTTAAGTCCATACTGATGTTTATTCTTGGCTCTGTTCCATCTCACAGCTGCTGATGGCCCAGGAGATCGTTTCATCATTGGGGAGTCCCAAGCTGGTGAACAGGTGAGATTAATAGGCCTGAAATGCACTGAAGATTTCAACTTCAGAATCTGGGCATCTAATGCTAAGCTTTTCCTATCCTATGTGAAAGTCTTAGAGAAGGATTAGGCAGAAGACTGTCAAAGAGATAAAAGAATGGTTCTTAGCAGAAATTCCCCCCTCCAAAAAAAATTACATAAAGAGCCTAGACTTACTAATATTTGTGTAATGCTGTTGATATATCCCTTGTAGACATGCCTCATAGACATTTTCCAGTCTTATAATTGAGTGGGGTTTTTTTTCTTCCTACAAATAATTATTTTTCTAGCTTGAACTGCATGTATCTTTCAGTGCTTGGATTTTTTAATAAGGAAGCTAGGGTCATTACCATGACATAATCGTTCTCCTACACATTACCTTAGCACCTGTGTATTATCAGTACTTATAAAAGTACATAATAAACCAAGGAAGCAAAGAAGACATGGGAATAGGTTTTACCAAAACTGCCACCTTTAAAAATCATTTATTGCTCTTTTATTTTCATGTATTGCTTACAATAAAAAACATGAAAGCTTGATTTTGCATATGTGTATATGTATGATGTGTGAATGTAGGTGTACACATTTCATGGCACATATGTGAGTCAGAAGACAGCCTCAGGTGTCAGTCTTCACCACCCACATTGCTTAAAACAAGGGCCTCTTTGTTATTTACTACTGTATGTGCAAGGCCAGCCAGCCTTAGAACTTCTGAGGATCCTGTTTCTGCCTCCCATCTCACCATAGGAGCACTGAGATTATGTACACATACTACTGTGCTTGTAGTTACATGGGTTCTGTAGTTACATGGGGATTTGAATACAGGTCCTCATACTTGATTATTGAGCACGTTACCCAATAAGCATCTCCTTAACTCTTGATTCTTTTTTACTTTATTTGACTGTTTAACACTATTTCTATCATCAGTGGTCATGGAAACTATCCATTTTTATAACAAGGCCACAAAATAACAAGTATTCAAGTACTCTCTGATCTTTGAATCTACCCAGCATCTTTTATATCAATCACATTAACATGTGTACCAGGTGATAGATTCTGGGATATAAATTATATTAAGACTAATTTCTTCTCTTATGGAGTTTTGTAGAGGAAACAGTATAAACAACTGCATATCATACCATATATTAGATGTTAAGCTAATGGTATCCATCAAATGCTATGGAGCACAAAAGAGAAGTTAAACATTTCAGCCTGAGAGGTTTAGGGGACTAACATTGGAACTGGGACTTGGAGAGAGCTGCAAAGGCAGAAAAGGGAATAGTTCATCTAGGTAGAAAACAGTATAAGTCAAAAACCCAAAAGTGCCCAGCATAGTGGTTTATGCCTATAATCCCAGCACTCTGGAAACAGAATCAGGATTGCTACAAGCTCAAGGCCAACCTGGGCTACATCACAAGTTCCAGGCCAGCCAGAACTACATATATAGTGAAACCCTGCCTTAAAACAACAAAAAAGGCAATGGATGGGCATCTAGGTTGTTTCCATTTCCTAGATATTGTGAATCGGGCAGCATTGAGCATGGATGAATACTTATCTCTGTAGTAGGATATAGAGTCCTTTGGCTACATGTCCAAGAGTGGTATGACTGGATCATATGGGAGATCTATTCTTAGCTTTTTGAGGAAGCTCCACACTGATTTGCATAATAGCTGCATCAGTTTACATTCCCACAAACAGTAAATAAGTGTTCCCTTTCCCTCACATCCTTGCCAGTATTTGTCATTCTGTGTTTTGTGGATCTTAGTCACTCTGACCAGGGTAAATTCCAAAGTAGTTTGAATTTGTATTTCCCTGATGGCTAAAGATGTTGAACATAGGGCCCCTTTCTGCTGGCACCTACCACACGATTGGCTGCAACAAGGTGAAGCTTGGTATGTCTTTCCCAGACACCAGCTTTCAGAAACTCATTGAAGTGGACAATGAATGCAAACTTTATACTTTCTATGAGAAGTGCATGGCCACAGAAGTTGCTGCTGATGCCCTGGGTGAATAGTGGAAGGGTAATGTGGTCAGAATCAGTGGTAGAAACAACAAACAAGGCTTTCCCATGAAACAGAGTGTCTTGACCCATGGCAGAGTGTGCCTGCTGCTGAGAAAGGGACATTCTTGTTTTAGACAGAGGAGGACTGGAAAGAGAAAGTGCAAGTCTGTTCATGGGTACCAATCTGAGTGTTCTCAACTTGGTTATTGTAAAAAATGGAGAGTAGGCTATTCCTGGACTGACAGATATTACTGTACCACAGCAGTTGGGGCCCAAAAGAGCTAACAAAATGCACAAACTTTTCAATCTCTCTAAAGAAAATGATGTTTGCCAATATGTTGTCAGAAAGGTCTTGAACAAAGAAGGTAAGAAGCCCAGGAATAAAGCACCCAAGATTCAGTGTCTTGCTACACCATGTGTCCTACAACACAACCATCATATTGCTCTGAAAAAACAATGCATCAAGAAAAATAAAGAGTAGGCTGCAGAATATGTTGAATTGTTGGCCAAGAGAATGAAGGAAGTCAAAAAGAACACAGAACAGATTGCAGGCTATCCTCACTGAGAGCTTCTACTACCAAATCTGAGTCTAGTCAAAAATAATCTTTAAAAGTAACAAATAAATATAATCAAACCTTGAAAAAAAAAAAAGATGTTGAGCTGGGCCTGGTGTCTTAGACCTGTTATCCCAGCACTTGGGAGGCAGAGGCAGGCAAATCTCTGTGAGTTCAAGTCCAGTCTGGTCTCCATAGTGAGTTCCAGGCCAGCTGGGGCTACAGGGAGACCTTGTCTCAAAAAGACCAAAAAAAAAAGTGAACATTTTTTAATATCTCTCAGCCAGTTGTATTTCATCATGTGAGAACTCTGTTTAGCTTCTTGTCCCAATTTTAATTCCTCCCAAGGCTCTATGGAAGAGAAGGTGGGAAGATTGTAAGAGCCAGAAGTGGTAGATGAATACAAGGAAACTGTTGTCTGGACACCACAGGATAGTTGCACATATGAATCTACAGCACTTATGACAGCATGCATAAGACCTATGCAATCCCAAGCCAGACAGGGGCCCAGCATAGGTGGAGGATGTGGACAGAAAGTCCCAGCCCTGACCAAGGACCTATTAGCATTTGATGGATGATGAGTCAGTTTTCTGTACTGATGTGAAGCCTAGTTGATTGACCAGACTTCATGGGATAGAACCACACCTAAGAACACTTAGGAAACACAAATTAGACTCAACAGTCCTTTAAGAAAAACATAAAAACAAATAGTAATAGATGACAAGAGTTGAGGGGAGGTAGAAAGGTGGGAGTGGAGAGGGTGGAAGCGGTCTGAATATGATTAACCTCCCATGCTCATGGATTAGAAGAATTAATATTGTGAAAATGACCATCCTATCAAAAGCCATTTATAGATTCAATGCAATACCAATCAAAATCCCCATGACATTTTTCACAGAATTGGAAAAAACCATCCTAAGATTCATATGGAAGCACAAAAGACCTCAGATAGCCAAAGCAACCCTGAGCACTAAGAGCAATACTGGTGAGATTACTACTCCAGATTTTTAACTATATTACAGAGCTATAGTCATAAAAACAACATGGTATATGCACAAAAATAGACCCATAGATCAATGGAACAAAATTTAAGACCCAAATATGAGTACATGCAATTTCAGCCACCTGATATTTAACAAAGGGGCCAAGAACATCCACTGGAAGAAAGACAGCATTTTCAGCAAATGGTGCTGGCAAAACTAGGTCTCCACCTATAGAAGAATGAAACTAAACCCCTATCTTTAACCTTGCACAAAAGTCAACTCCAAATGGATCAAAGACCTCAATGTGAAGCCTGAAACTCTGAAACTGTTAGAAGAAAACATTGGCAATAACCTACAAGATAAAGGTGTGGGAAAGAATTTTCTAAACCAGACATTAATTGCTCAGGAAATAAGGTCAAGAATCAACAAATGGAACCTCATTAAACTAAAAAGCTTCTGTACATCAAAAAAAGCAACCAAGGAAGTTAAGAGAAAAACCCACAGAGTGGGAGAAAATCTTCACCAGCAATAAATCTGACAGAGGTTTAACATCCAGAATATATAAAGAACTCAAAAAAGCAAGAATCAAGAAAGAAAGTAACCCAATTAAAAGATGGGCTAAGGAGCTGAATGGGGTGTTCTCAAAAGAAGAAATAAAGCTGGCTAAGAAGCATTTTAAAAGGTGTTCAACATCATTAGTAATTAGGGAAATGCAAATGAAAACCACTTTAAGATTTCATCTTACCCCAGTCAGACTGTGAAGATCAAGAGAACAAATGACACCAAATGTTGGAGAGGATGTGAGGAAAGGGGAACACTCATCCACTGCTGGTGGGGCTGCAAACTTGTTCAACCCCTAGGGAAAGCAGTGTGGAGAACTCTTAAAAAACTACAAATGAACCTACCATTTGACCCGGTTATACCACTCCTTGGCATATCCCCAAAGAACTTATCCTATTGCAGAGACACTTATACATCCATGTGTGTTGCTGCTCTTTTCACAATAGCTAAGAGATGGAAGCAACCTAAGTGTCCCTCGGTTGATGAGTGGATAATGAAAATGTGGTTCATATATACGATGGAGTTTTACTCAGCAGTAAAGAAAGATGAAATCATGAAATTTGCAGATAAATGGATGGAACTAGAAACTGTTATACTAAGTGAAGTAACACAGATTCAGAAAAACAAACAACATATGTTCTCCCTCATATGTGGATCCTAGCACCAAATCCTTATAAGTGAATATGTATCCAGACATAATTACAGGAACCAGGATAATGAAAAGAAATGAGGGGGGTAAAGGAAAAGAAAGAACCTGAGAGAGAAGAACAGTAGGAAACAGGTGTTACTAAGGGAGATATAGGTTAAAATGGGGTTATTTAAATGGGAGGGGGAGGGAGGTTATACAAGGAACCTTGGAGATAAAGAGAAAGAAGGAGCTCAAGAG